TCTTGTGCCATTTTGCTTATCTAGTAAATGCATCTTGATTTAAGATTTTTTTTTTAGACATTTTGACTAGAAACAAGATAACAAACACTGTTTTTTTTGTTGTTGTTTTTTTGCGGTGAAAAAATGTCCTGTTGCACAGTAATCATTGCCCTGTTTCTCATATAAACTCTATAATATGTTCTCTTTTAAGAAAAAAGGCTGCAAACTCTTTAATTCAGAATCCTAGGGAGGGATGTAGTGAAATAAAAGGCTGCATTATACACTGCAGATGCCTCTCATATCAGTTCACCCCTGCTGTGAAACCATCTCATTTGTGATATTAGATCTTATTATTTTTTTTGCATGGAACAAAATCAAAATGTTTTACTAAAAAATACATCTGAAAGTGTAGCTAATTAAAAACATCAATATGTTCTGTCATCTCTAGTAATCAGCAAGTTTTATCTATAAAAACCTGCAAAAAAAAAGTGTCTTGCATGGTTGTTGACTGTTAAATTCAAATTTGGATTGATGCAGTATAAGTAGGATTAAGAAAGATAAAAAAGAAAATTCATATAACTGATTTTTATCTATCTATCTATCTATCTATCTATCTATCTATCTATCTATCGTTCTATCGTGCTGTATGTTATAGTACCTGGTGGCCTACATGTGTCTCACCTTAATTTGTATTTCAAATGGTATTAGAGTTACTGGATAAATTCATGTGAATTGCTAATTGATCATTTAAACGAGCTGAGTAACAGTGATCTTAATAATAGACTTACAGGACACTCACACATGTCCCGGCCCTTAAATAATGTTAATTACTTTCAAATCCCTCATTAAGACAAGCAATTAAAATTGGTTAAGCAATCATTCAAACCACTATCCACTGTATCACCTTGGGCTTTGTGGTTGAGACTGGAGCAATTATCTGGCAGTTTGGAAATTGACAAGCCCATTAGACAATAAAAGGTTGAAAGCAGAAAATGAAGAATCGCTCTGCTGATTGACCATATTTCCATTCCGTCAGCATGGTGTGGGTTTCAGGAAGAAGGCAACATGTTTTTTGCTTTATTTTGGTAGTTTGTAAACTGGATTACCGGCTAGTCTGTGGCTCAATGGTAGAGGGCTAGATTGGATTATGGGTGTGAAGAGCAAAGCGGCATGGTGGAGAATGGATTACAGCCCCACTAGAGCTACTCTCTGGGCATTTACGCTTTTATACTTAACCGGGGAAGCAGATTCATGCATCCATGGCCGATAACGGATTTCTCCAACCATTTAAAACCGAATTTGGCCGAATTTCAAGTAAAAACCGACCTTTAAAGAGTTAGAAAGAAAACCTCGCCTATGTGATGACATTTAATGTCATGAGTGGTTTATTTACAGGGTGTTAAAAACCAAAATGACAGGGCGACCTGTACATTTCACTTATTTATAGCGTGTAATCGGCTATTTGTGGTGAAGAAAACCCAAGACGACAGCTAAGTCAATCCGCAGTGTGTTTGAGGGATCGAGCCTGTGCTGTGCTTTTCCCTGAATCCATTTTCTGTACAATAATTGGAGGCTCTAAACACAGTTATCAAAAACATCTCATGCAAAAAGATACTTGGCAGGACATTAGGTGACAGGACGTCGATGTGCCACTTATAACGTCTTGACAAAGGCGGTTGAATTGGTCACTGATGACAGTACCTCAATCTCTCTTCCAGTCATGCTCCATTCCTGTGGCCAGACGCTCGAGCCCCAGAGGACAACAAACGTCAATATGACTCGCCATGTGTGGATTACGTGCTTGGCAGGATCCCCTATTTATAATCACTTGACACAGTGAATGTGTCCAATGCGGTAATAATTTCGTAATCTCTCTGCTTTGTCAATATTGTAGACTGTGAGTAAGCGTGTGTATGTGCAGCTGATAAAGATGTTTCTGGCCTTCAGCTTACGACTGGCTTGAATACGAAGACTCACTCCACAATCCAATTTCTCATTGTAGGCTACTCTCCCAGGAAACAGTCCTCGTCCTCCGTAAAATGCGTTGCACACACACAAATATTGGTTTGAACTGTTCTGGAACAGTAAATACAACTTAACCACTGATTTCTAGTTGTGTCCTCTTTTGAAAGACCAAACAAAGTAGTTTCGCTTTCACAACAAAACATACAGCGTCTCCACGACATGGTGGTGGCGGCGGCAACAATACTACAGCGAGAATCAAAGTTACGCCGCCTTTCTTTGTTTGAACATTTGGGTTTCGCATAAAAGAAAAATGTGTAATTTTTACCCATACAGTACAGTGTATTGTTGGCTATTGCTACAAATATACCCGTGCTACTTATGACTGGTTTTGTGATCCAGGGTCACATATATAGAGAGACTATGAGAGCCTGAATATGAATATGAGCTTGACATAATGTAAAACAGGACTGACAATTCCACGAGAAACGGATATATAATTCAGACTTTGGACCTATTCTACCTTTTTTAACAGCCCTCGCGTCAGTGCACATATGATGCCTTAAAATACTTTCTAGGTAGACAGCTCACAAGGTTTTCCAGCCGAACTGTGTGTGTGTGGTGAGATGTGAGCTTCTAACCTGATCTCCGACAGCATTACACCCCGCCTGTAGAGATCACACTCACGTTCTAAAAATGTCATATTCACACTGATGTTCTAACAATGGTTTTGCCAACATTTACCTCATTATTGGATAACTGAAACCATGGCTGTTTCCCATAGGTGAAGATCTCCCACATAATGACTCCGAAGCTCCATACATCGCTCTCGGTGGAGAACTTCCTGTACATGATGCTCTCCGGAGGCATCCAGCGTATGGGCAGCATGGTGTGACCTCCCACCTACAAGAAAGATTACACATCAAGCATTGCTCACAGACATCTTACGTGGTATGGATGACATTTCGCTCTTCTTGTAAACAAGTTAACAGCTTAGTCTATTAGTTTAGATCTGACTGGTTATCAAAAGCTCTTTTGGCTAACTAAAAAGATGCATGCAATGCAACAGTTTTGCTCTTGCTTGGCATTCTAGAAATTCTGAACATATAATACTGAAATATAAATTCTATAGTTTAAAGATTCACATCAATGTATTACTTTCAGCTTTTGCAGACCCTGATAAACTAATACACTTGTTGCAGAAGTTGTGAATTGCGTAATCAGTGTGCGCTAACTGTTTTCAGAGGCTGACTTTGAACAAAAAACAGCATCACATATTTTCTATGAAAAAAAAAAAGTTTAAAAGCTTTTGGAGCTGCAATTCGTCACAAACATAAAACCACTGATTCTGATGAACTATAATGCAAGATTATATACTCTGTCAATTATAGAACACTTTAGTGTGTTAAAGGAGAGATCATACAGTATGTGCTTTCTGAAGTCATTTTTATTACCGGTTGCTGTGTGTAGTTTCAAGCAGAGCGCTCACTGTTGAGGAGGAAAGAGACACTGTTGTGTGTGTGTGTTTGTGTGTGAGGCAGTGCATTAGTGCAATGAACTGTGCTGCAGCAGCGTGATGCACAGACCCTACGGAGGGCATGAAAGAGCACGTACACCAACGAGAATGAATACTGTAAATATACAACCTTTCAAATATTTGGGGTCAGTAATAAAAAAACAACAAAATACTTCTATTCAACAAGGCTGCATTAAATTGATCAAAAATGACAATAAAGACTTAAATTGTTACAACATTTTTTTATAAATGCTGTTCTTTCAAAAAATTTTATTCATCAAAGTGTTCTGGAAAAAAACATATATATCATATATTATCTATATTTTTAACATTTGATAATAAGAATAAATATTTATTGAGGAGCAAATCAGTATATTAGAATGATTTGTGAAGAATCAACACTGAAAACTGGAGTAATGATGCAGAAAATGTAGCTTTGTATCACAGAAATAAATTACATTTTGAAATATATTAAAATAGAAAAGTTGTTTAAAATTGTAATAATATTTCACAATATTACTGTTTGTACTCTATTTTTGATCAAATAAATGCAGCCTTTGTGAGCATAAGAGACTTACCTATTTATAATCACTTGACACAGTGAATGTGTCCAATGCGGTAATAATTTCGTAATCTCTCTGCTTTGTCAATATTGTAGACTGTGAGTAAGCGTGTGTATGTGCAGCTGATAAAGATGTTTCTGGCCTTCAGCTTACGACTGGCTTGAATACGAAGACTCACTCCACAATCCAATTTCTCATTGTAGGCTACTCTCCCAGGAAACAGTCCTCGTCCTCCGTAAAATGCGTTGCACACACACAAATATTGGTTTGAACTGTTCTGGAACAGTAAATACAACTTAACCACTGATTTCTAGTTGTGTCCTCTTTTGAAAGACCAAACAAAGTAGTTTCGCTTTCACAACAAAACATACAGCGTCTCCACGACATGGTGGTGGCGGCGGCAACAATACTACAGCGAGAATCAAAGTTACGCCGCCTTTCTTTGTTTGAACATTTGGGCGCCGTTATGCAAATCTTCCCACACAGTGACGTAGACATGTGTGGGCGTGATTAAACGAGGCGTTTTAGGAGGGCGTGGACGAGTCTTAACTTTTATAAAGAATATCTCTTTGGGTTTGAGACTTTAGTCTTTGCAACTTTAGGGATCTTATCTATTCACGAACAGCTTGTAACACTCCAAAGAGAAAGGAAAACTTGAAATCGCATCATATGACCACTTTAAGCTATTGTGATACTTACTCGATAGTAATCTGAGCTGTAGATGTCTCTGGACATCCCGAAGTCCCCAATTTTCACGAGCAGGCCGTTACCCACGAGGCAGTTGCGGGTGGCCAGGTCACGGTGCACAAAATGCTGGGAGGACAGGTAGACCATGCCTGCTGCTATCTGTGTAGCGATATGAAGCATCTGTGAGAGACCAAGTTCCCCGTTAGACTGCATCGGTTGGCCATCCACGAGGATCATGGCGTCTGGACCATGGGCTCTGAAATGTGGGGAGAAAGGCATATTGGTTACACTTGTTAGTCTGGGCAGTAATTGTCCTTCACTGCCGAGCTTCATCCAGGTTTGCAATTACTTGCGTTTAGGATCCGAGCAGGGAAAATTGATTATGGATCAATGTAAAAGGGCACAGGGTCAAAGTGTTCAAACGCACCGCCTTACTGCCCCATAAAATAATTCCCCCTCTAATCCTTTAATCCTGTAAAGCTGTCTAATTTGAGTAAGTCAAGGCAAAGAAAGATGTACTTTGACTTCAGCTGCCTGGTGAAATAAAATCACCTATTCAGTTAACTTTTTCGATTTTCTCTTCACTCAGGAAAAATTATTTTTTTCTGATTGCGGCAGCATTTGCATAAGGTGGCTATTCAAAAGGGCTCGACTGTAATTTGTGCATCTCTCCTGGTCAGTGCCTCTTCAGCAGCGTGTTTTTATGTGTCAAATGTGTTTTTATATCACTTTTGCATTTGTTAACACTATCGGGTAGGTTTAGGGTTGGGTTTGGTGTAAGGGATATTTCCAACATGATAGAGCATTAACCTTAAGTGATACTCCCTGGATATTTCAATTCTGAATAGCCGCAATACATACCTCAAGCAGCGTAATAAAAACTCAGCAATACGTGCCTGTACCAACATAATAAAAACGTGCCACGGTCACAAATTGAACGTGTTTTAGCACCACTCTCTGGACATTGTACTTTGAAACTGCCGCAAAATGTGCAGTAAGGTATGCAATTACGCTGTTGCAGAAATGTATATAGAGGCACATATTTTGTGAAAGCAGTGAGACATTTTTTTCAGGATTCTATGTTGAATAAAAAGTTAAAAAGAACAGCATTTATTTTTAAATATCATTTTTTTACTGCCATTTTTGATTAGATAGATAATTTTATATCTATTATAATTTTAAAAGGTGCGTATAAATCACAAGGACAGCTACACATAATATACACACTTGTCACAATACATTCACGAACAGTTACATCCCCCAAAAAAAAAAAATAATAAATGCAAGAGTGTAAGTTGATGGCTGATTTCCTATGTGTTTAAAGTTAGTATAGCTGTAGGAACAAAACTCTTACTAAAGTTAGTCCTTCTACACATAGGTACGGCCAGATGGGAGAGGTCTGAAATACCGAAAGATTATATGAAAAAGATTTTCAAAATCCTTACTAGGTACAGTATATGTAAACACAAATCTTGCAAAACTCATCATGATTAAATAAAATAACTAATTTTGATTTACTTTCTTCGTACATTTCAAAATTGAGTGCAACATTTAGTTTTACCTTTTGGCACATTTTATATTTTTACTTTGCCAAATGGCACTTGGAGAGAAGAAGCTGTGCTCCAAACTCCAAACCCTATGAAATAAAATAAAGTAGTATATATATATATATATATATATATATATATATACATATAAAGGCATATTGGTTACACTTGTTAGTCTGGGCAGTAATTGTCCTTCACTGCCGAGCTTCATCCAGGTTTGCAATTACTTGCGTTTAGGATCCGAGCAGGGAAAATTGATTATGGATCAATGTAAAAGGGCACAGGGTCAAAGTGTTCAAACGCACCGCCTTACTGCCCCATAAAATAATTCCCCCTCTAATCCTTTAATCCTGTAAAGCTGTCTAATTTGAGTAAGTCAAGGCAAAGAAAGATGTACTTTGACTTCAGCTGCCTGGTGAAATAAAATCACCTATTCAGTTAACTTTTTCGATTTTCTCTTCACTCAGGAAAAATTATTTTTTTCTGATTGCGGCAGCATTTGCATAAGGTGGCTATTCAAAAGGGCTCGACTGTAATTTGTGCATCTCTCCTGGTCAGTGCCTCTTCAGCAGCGTGTTTTTATGTGTCAAATGTGTTTTTATATCACTTTTGCATTTGTTAACACTATCGGGTAGGTTTAGGGTTGGGTTTGGTGTAAGGGATATTTCCAACATGATAGAGCATTAACCTTAAGTGATACTCCCTGGATATTTCAATTCTGAATAGCCGCAATACATACCTCAAGCAGCGTAATAAAAACTCAGCAATACGTGCCTGTACCAACATAATAAAAACGTGCCACGGTCACAAATTGAACGTGTTTTAGCACCACTCTCTGGACATTGTACTTTGAAACTGCCGCAAAATGTGCAGTAAGGTATGCAATTACGCTGTTGCAGAAATGTATATAGAGGCACATATTTTGTGAAAGCAGTGAGACATTTTTTTCAGGATTCTATGTTGAATAAAAAGTTAAAAAGAACAGCATTTATTTTTAAATATCATTTTTTTACTGCCATTTTTGATTAGATAGATAATTTTATATCTATTATAATTTTAAAAGGTGCGTATAAATCACAAGGACAGCTACACATAATATACACACTTGTCACAATACATTCACGAACAGTTACATCCCCCAAAAAAAAAAAATAATAAATGCAAGAGTGTAAGTTGATGGCTGATTTCCTATGTGTTTAAAGTTAGTATAGCTGTAGGAACAAAACTCTTACTAAAGTTAGTCCTTCTACACATAGGTACGGCCAGATGGGAGAGGTCTGAAATACCGATGGAGTGGGTGATCTGGGTCTGTTAGGATTATGTGTGCTTTCCGGATTGTAGCTGAAGTAACAGTCTGATAATTTAGGAGTAGGAATACCAATAATCCTACTAGCCAAATTATATATCTTTAAAAGTTTGTTCCTATTAGCAGCTGTAAGCATATGAAAAAAACAAATGGCACCATACATAAGAACTGGCTCAATAATACTCAATAATACAGGAGGAGACGCATCCTTGCTGAATAAAATTATTAATTTCTTCAAAAAAATAATCCCAAAAACTTTTTAATGTTAGTGTATAATCAACAACTTAGTCATTAGTTTTAAATAATTATTTATTATTTGATTACATACATAGTCTTTACCTTGTACATACAGTAAGTGTTACCATTTCAAATACTTTTATGCTTTTTACTTCTTTTATGTTTTTACTTTTACTTCAAATCAAAGCTTGTGAGTCATGAACCAAACCAAACCACAAGTTGGGATTCAGCTGTTGGTTAGTTTATAACTTAACTTAAAACTACTGAAGAATATTTTTGAAATGTCTATGGAGTAAATGAATGGAGAAAAAAAATCCTAACCAAGGCTGCTGAAAAAAACTAGGCAGTACACTATTGTGCACTATTCTTCAAATGATGTACTTTGACTTGTCTAATATGCTTTACCCAAGTTCTCGCTAAATCTCTTTAATTCAACACAAATCATCAGCATGAAGCTTAACTGGAGTCTGTTGCCAAAATCCTTTTGCTGTCCATGAAAATCAACCAGACTTTTATCATTGCAGCTTTTCTAAAAAGAATTTCATCATTTTTTTTCTTGAAATGCAAGTCCGGCCATCTGCATAAGTGTAAGAAAAAATTCTCTCCCTATACAAAAGAATAATTTATTATCATCACCCATCACTTTGCTCCCACAAGACAATCATCTCACTCCAGTTCTCTATCTGTCTTTATATTTTCACAGTTCTCCCCTGCAAATTACAATTCACATGGCCTCAATACACCTTGCGACGTGCATACAAAGAAGTTAAAACATGAGCTGCCATTTTGAAATAGAATCTTGTGTCTCAAATCCTAGTGAGCTGTTTCAGTATCTAATGCCTACATGGGCAGCTGTCTACATAAACAGCATCGAAATGAAACTTCATAATTGATTGATTTGAGCAGTAACCTTATGTGTCTCATATTTGAAATGGCAAAATTAAACATTTTAAATTATATATCACTACTTCCCATCAGTAAATCTTTCAGATCTCTTTAATATCTGAATTACAGTGATAACATGAACCGGAGAACAAAAAGTCTTAAATTTTCAGAAGAGATCTCAGTAATGCTTTAAATTGCTCAAGGATCAAATTATCTTGGCTATGCTATTAAGCATAATTCTCTGTCCATTTTTATTTATCCTAAAGGATTTTAAGAAAAATATTTTAGACAAAGTTGGTTCCTCAATGAAAATAACAGAACTCAATTAAGTCTACTGAGCTACCTGTGAGCTATAAAATTATCCTCTGGGTTGGCTCTATCCACCGTATTACATGAAAATGTTTATTACTTGTTGCAACGCATGATAAAATGACATCATTCATGAAGGAAACATGATATTCCCAAAAATTCTGGCCAAAATTAGGCATTTTAGGAGCTAGAATAATTTCACTACCTACAATTTCAGACTGCCTTTGCTTAGGGAGTGCATAATATGCAAGTCCTATAATTCCAGCCCAGACTCATTGGAAATATATGCCTGTGGCAACATTTCTGCAAAATTATATTGTCACTTCTTGCATGTTTTGCAACACTTTCTAGTGAAATGTCCAGTGAGTGATTATAGAAGTGTGTCTGGCAACGTTTTATTAGTTTGGCTGTTGTACATATGATGACAATGTCCAGTGAGTTGAACTGAAAGGTTAATATTCTATCACTTTTGAAAAAAATTACCATCTACTCTAAATCTTACCCTAAACCTAGTGTTATCAAAAGTAAACGTGAGATAAAAACGCATTTGCTAAATCAACCGTTGAGCTGTTTTATCGCGACTTGTGCTTTCACAGGGCTGACCTGCAAGTGCAATACTGTACCAGGTGGTCTACCAAGCAAGTTCCCTATCTGTCGGTCACTACGAGTTATGTCGAACGACATATAGGGTCTCACTTGGGAGACCAATCATCTCTGAGTTTAAGAGAAAACACCAATGAAAATTGGCTAGTGGATTTTGCATACCTGAGCCACTCCCCGTGCATACAGGTATAAATAGGTGACAGGTGCATCCACTCTTCAGATTTTTGCTTCGGAGCCGAGTGGTTGTATGAAAAGCTGTTATACTCCACAAAGCCATTCATCTGCTGTGTGTCGGGAAGCTGTTCTGGTTGGCGGTACGGCGCGAACAGCGGTGTCCCTTTCAGCAATTCCCCTGGGCGCTTCAACTAA